AATTAATTAGTTCTCGTCAGTCATCCCAGATAGTTTCAATAAATCGAAACTGCTTTATTTAAGTGAGATGATTAATAAAATTAATTAAGGAATTAATAATAACAACGAAGATGCCACTGTGTGTAGTCAATGAACTATTTTCTAACTTAAATGTTGTGTTTATTATTGTTGTTAATATGGAGGTACAAGACGAAATATCTTCGATTCAAGTTTATAAATGAGCTAGGTAGATAGGAGGAAGTTAAAGGGGAGAGAGATTGTTCTATATAAATGCTTCATTCGTTTACCAGGATAAGAAACACAATACGTCTCAATAAGTTTTCGGAAACGAGAATTACCGGAGTACATATGCGAGCAGAGAAGATACTTTGTCCTCAAATGGAAAATAATGGACGAAGGAAAGTAAATAGCGTCAAGTTACGATCAAATGCAGTGTTTAAGGACTTCTCCAGTTAAATATTGTTTGATGAGAACTGGAGACAAGTTCTGATACTTAAACCTTCCGGACTGTCACCGCTTCTTTATGACAAAAAAAGGAGATCGGATTCCTTAAAACCACAACTCCATTAAACACTTAATAAAGCATTAGAAAGACTTTCCAAATTAGAACGTAGATAACTGCATTCTCCTGCACACAACTCAAAATTGTCGATCAATTTTCTCATCGATATTACATGATATCATTACTTTTCATGACTAGTTTCAGTAGCAAAAGTACGATTATATACGTATTACATAAGTTTTATGTGATTCGACGGTCTGCGCCACTAGGTAATACCTTTTAGAAAGTTCTCATGGATGGAGTTTTGGTTAGTGTTCCCGACTGAACCGAATTCTCAGCTGCTAAGCTTCCCTAGGCGTTTTGCTCTTAATTGGAGTTGGAAGCGGCAGATTTTAATTTCTCTATCTTGAAAAAAACACAACGTTAAAGGGTCGTTAGCAACTTTTTTTGTCATTGAGAATACCATCTACTTTCACTACGTAGCAGTTCTGCTATTTCTTTTTTTAATTGTTTTTATTATTTCACGTTGTTGAATACTGAATATATAATATATAATAGGTACTTTAACGAAATATAGATAAATTTCGTTAACTATTATTTGCCAAGTTGCAGTATAGTCCACAAGGTTTTTGTTACAGTTCCTTTTGTGCTTCTGTTTTTTATGCGCCATTTCATTTGCTGCTTTTTTTCGGACGAATAACAAAAGATAGCTGAAATAACTAGACGAGGCGAGTTAACGGTTTTTTTGCTGTTTTAATGTATTATTCCTAGCTGCTATTATCAACGGACTGTATGTAAGATTTCCTTTGAGTTTATAGCATACGTATTAATTGTTACTCTGAGAATGAATGCAAGAATGTATTACTGACTTGGCTTCAGGCGATTTAAAATCATCGCGGAGAAACAAAACAATATAATAGCGCGTCCTCGTCTACGTTTCGTTCAACGACGCTGTTAGGCTATCTAACATTTCTAATTCGAAAAAATGTTGTTAAAGAGCAGCTGATATTCACGCGTCACGGATGACACTCGAGCACACGCAAACTATTAACCCTTTTGAAAAGAAAAGTACATTTAATTTACTTGAATTTTAGTATACAACATTGTAGATATCCTAAAAAACTTATTAGTACATCAAACACAAACTTTAATTATATTTCTATCATAGAAACTGTGGGTATGAGATAAATCCTGTTTGGAACGCCCTCTAAAATTATACTTTGGTTGATCCCTCGAATATCACTAGAAAGCTTATAACACTTGGTTAATTAAAACTGATACTTATAATCGTATTCCTAAGGTGAATAATTAATAGGTCATGATGGTTGTATGATAACAATGCAGCTAAGAATGCAATGCTCAGTAGAATAAGATACTTTTACTTGAAGTGGGATTTACAAAAATCCACCTTCGTTTTAAGGAACTTGGATCATCTCAAAGAAACAAAAATATTACTGTAAGACCTTTGACTGTGAGAATTCTCGAACTTGAGATCGCTTTCTAAGAAATCGATAAACATCCGAAGAGAAGAGTTACACCTCTTCCAAATGCACCGAACCGTAATTTAAAGAAGGAATAGCTAAATCAAGTGAAATTGTCTAGAGTACTTACTTTACGTAACAGTCATTCTAATATTCAAATTGGAATTGAGAACTGTTAATTATTTAAAACAGTTCGTAGATTCTCATGGTGCCAACACTTTTATATTTGATAAAAAATATATACAAAATAACGTAAAAAAGCGCTCGTGAATTTTTTGAGAGATGAAAGGTATTTACTAAGCTTTGAGAAATGATTTTTATGTAAAAAGGTACGTAGAATCTCATGGTGCCAACGGTTTTTGAGTGCGGTGTCAAATAAGTGCTTTCCGGCACTATTTTTGCTAAAATATATAAAATAGTTTAAACATAAAAAGGCGCTCGTGAAATTACTGAGAGATGAAAGGTGCTTATTAAGCTTTGACACAAGATAGTTATCTAAAAAGGTACGTAGAATCTCATGGTGCCAACGGTTTTTGAGTGCGGTGTCAAATAAGTGCTTTCCGGCACTATTTTTGCTAAAATATATAAAATGACTGAGAGATGAAAGGTGCTTACTAAGCTTTCACACACGACAATCATGTAAAAAGGTACGTAGAATCCCATGGTGTCAACGGTTTTTGAGTGCGGTGTCAAATAAGTACTTTGCGGCACTATTTTTGCTAAAATACATAAAATAATTTAAACATAAAAAGGCGCTCGTGAAATTACTGAGAGATGAAAGATGCTTACTTAGCTTTGACACACGATAATTATGTAGAAAGGTAGTAGAATCTCATGGTGCCAAAGGTTTTTGAGTGCGGTGTCAAATAAGTACTTTCCGGCACTATTTTTGCTAAAATATATAAAATAGTAAACATAAAAAGGCGCTCGTGAAATTACTGAGAGATGGAAGGTGCTTACTAAGCTTTCACACCCGATAATTATGTAAAAAGGTACGTAGAATCCCATGGTGCCAAAGGTTTTTAAGTGCGATGTCAATTAGACATTTTTCGGAATTATTTCTGTCATACACGATCTCCTAAAAAATTAAATCTAGGCATAACAAATAAGGTAGGACAGCATGTATCCATTACATTTTTCCCTCAGAATCCTGAAAATTATTATGGAGCTTGTTCATTATTATAGACGTTTTCTTAATAATTAGATTGTAAATAGCTTTCCACATATGCTAGTTGGTTAATACTTAATCAAAGGTTATTTGTATCTACTTATTATTTTTGTAAGGTGTGAACAATTACAGTTAATAGGGATTGTGATAATTTCTATATTTAGATCGTAACTTTCTATTAGAGGGGACACTAAAGTTCGTTTCAGAAAACTTTTCTGATTTTGATAAATTAAAATTATATTAGGTACTTTCACTCTTTCAACTGGTTTGGGATTAAGAACGTTCCAAACATTTACTCGCGCTATCATTTTCACTTGGCTGGTTCTCTTTAAATTATAATGAAGCTTTCAGGGCGTTATTTTAGCATTGTTAAATAAATACGTTGTCCTAGTAGATCAGCTTATCCTTCCAGTTTTCTGTCCCAATATTTATTCAATCTGTAAGTATGAGATAGTTTATATAGACTATTCTAAAACTATCGATTTTAGTTAAAACAAACATTTTTGAAACATGTCTGCACCACATTTTTGTTCAATGTAACTATGTTTGTGACATAGGCGTAACCTTTTAACAATTTTATTATGTTTTCTTAATCTTGCGATATAATTTTGAAGAAACGCTCTAACTTGGGGCAAGTTTCAATATTGTTTACATCCACTAAACCATTTTACTGAATTATTGTACGTAGACTGTACGAAGTTTTAGTAAGTTTACCCTTGGATAAATCATAGTTTAACGCGAGCAGTATATAGGCATAGAGAAAAGTAAAATAGCATTCAGCTATTAGCCTCGTAAATTCTAATGTATCGTGCAAAATGTGTAGTCCATAAACGCCAGGGCCATAAAATAATCGTAACTTCTAATACGTTTTGCAAATTTACGATTGCACCAAATTCAAACGTGTTGGTTTTGATAATTGACCGACACTTCGGCATTCACGAAAGCTTAAATCATTATTTTGAATAACACCGCCGTGCTTTCGCCGCCTCTATTATACGTACATACATATAGATACGTATGTATAACAATTTAAGTTTACATAAACTCACAGAATGACGGTATATATATTTAGTACATATATACTTGTACATACGTGTACATTTGACAGATTAAGATGCCTTATCCGGGCATAGTATTACTAGAGACATCTGAATCGAATCGAATTCATCTTTACACACCTGCGCCCTTCTGCAGATAGATAATAGGAGTATTCGCTACAGTTCCGATGTACATTTTACGGGAAATGTCTTCCTGAACTTGTATTATTTTTCTAACCAGTACATATTACACAACAAAAGAACTATGCCGTCCATAGTCCCCTTACTAACTACATAACTAAATTCGTTTGATTTAATTATTAAATTATTTTATTCTGATAAAAAAAAACCGATTAAATTTTTTGGAAGGGAAGCAGCTAGGGTAATAGTGAGATTAGCTACACTGCTGCATAAACTAAGGTAGGACTGTCTACTTTGCAAGGGTCTAGGTGCATGTGTTAGTTTTACTTCGTAAGATCCCTATGAAAAGTTATCTCACTTCAGTGTCCCTGTCTTCTTCGGTACGGTTTCTCATGAGGAATCTAGGAGAAATCCCCTCATTTGCCACTAGTCAGGAGCACATCATATTTTTTGTAACTCTGAAAATGAATTAATTAAAATCTACTCCTAATTTCCACCTTGGTCCGAAGCTCAATTAATGAGTAACTAATCAGTAAATGGAAAATATTAAAATAACAGTATAAATTTGAGAAAAATTTCGTTGTTGTTTCATGTTTTGTATATAAATTATACGAGGTTCTGGTTCTTTTTGTGTCATATTTGTATTTTATTGTTTATTTTCTTCGTTTTAGGTTCCAAACTGGTGGAGATCGATGAGAGAATGGTCCGTTACAGCAGTGGATGGTTTTCGTAAAAAGTGCGAGGCGTTTCAGAAATTTGAAATGCAGGGAAACACAGCCAGAATCCTTTTATGTGCAATTTTACAACATGTTGTTGCAACAGGTACTTTTCAAATTATATTTACACCAACAGTATACCTACGTTTAAGCTTACCCGTGTGTACGGCTGAATTTTAACTTAAATTATGCGAAAATATTAACTGAATGTGTTCAAAAAGGAAAGCGTTTTGATTTTTATCGCAAGAATTTTTGAGGGCTTTTTTTTCGTTAAATGTTCCGGTAGATTACCTTCTTCTCTTCAACTAAAAGTCTTTTATTTTAAGATAAAGTACTACGGAATTTGAGCAAAACTGTCAATATTAGGCAGAGAACTGGCTTCAAAAGAGACACGCGGAACTGTCACTGTAAATCAGCGAAACTCGAAAAGACTTCATCCCCTAATAACTTGAAATTCAAACAAAATATCAACAACAGTAGACTTTATAAAGAATAAAAAAATATACATCAAGCGGACTATTCACGAATTTAAAACTCCCTTGAACATATTATTTTACGTCTTGTATTTTATTTTGAAAATTTTCTGGAATAATTTGAATTTGAAATTTTTAAAATGACTAGGGTTCGTTTATCTAAATAATATGCAGGAATAGGGTTGCTGGATGTATTTAACATGTGTTTTATTTGAATATGAAATAGACAATTAGTTGTTTGAAAAGCGTGGTTGAAATGCTTATGAATTTGACAACAAAGGAAAAACGCTTAGAGCTCAAAACGGTTCAAATAAAACGAATGCCGGACGTTAAAAGCAAATTGTAAAGACATACAATTCCATGCATGTATTTGTTCGTGTACATAGCATCAGGTACCTATGTAGGTACCGATTTGAATACAAGACGTCCATCTGTATTACCGGCTTACTTACAGAGCCAAGCGCAATAATTTATAATCTTCAATAGGACGATCTTTTTAGCCATATTTTACCCTTGTTAGTAGGGCAAGGCATTAATTTCGACCGAGCGCGTGGTGTACACCTACCGCTTTCCGTAACCTCACAGACAACGTATAAATTCATTCCGTTGCTACACCTGAACGGTTATATTTTGTTTGACTAACGTGAAATTCCTCATCTCAAAACGATTTATTAATGGTTCTCTCTGACGCTCTCCGGCCCCTTTATCTCTCGAATTCGTCCCAGACTTCACGAACCTCGTCAGACAGCCCTCGATGGCTACTAATTAATACCTATCACCTTTTTTAATTAATGTCACATCTTATATACCTTTATGTAATTAGAAAAACTCCCACACCAATTCTAATGATTCCTAACGAAAAATACCCCTACCATTGTATCTCCCACTTTTAGAAAACGACACGCAGCGGGCCTGAAATGTCAATCAATTCGAGTCAACGACATAATTATTTACGTTTTCCCTATTTTCATTAGCCCAAGCTAAGAAAATTACATAAATTTACGAAAAGAATGATAAATTCAAAGCAAGTGGAAGAGTCTACAAAATTTTTTATATTTAATTACTCATTTGATTTAAATATTCAAATTATCCAATATTTAAACGTTTGTAAAACTATAAATATTTGAACACTGTTGTCTGAGCATCCAGATATTTAAAAATTTGAATAATGAAATATTTGGATATTTGAATATATCAATACTTTATTGATTTCAAAATATTTGAATTGCCTATGACTATTAAACAGGACTATATGAAAATAAATAAAAGTAAATCAAAAATACTGGTATGCAAGGGCAGAAAAAGTAGGGAAAGATAGTAGACGCAAAATTAGAAGAAGTGACTGATTTTAGATATCTAGGAAGTCAGATAAGTCAGGACGGAAGGAGTAGTAGGAATATAAAGCAGAGGATAGCGCAAGGTCGTATCGCCTTCAATAAAAAAAAAGTCACACTAGTTATAGGCGAATGATGAGGATATATTGGATAGAGAAGGTTATAAATGAAGAGGTATTAGAATGAATAGGAGAACAGAGGACTCTATGGAGTCAGTAAGAAATAGGCGAGATAGGTTAGTAGGACACCTTCTCAGGCATGAAGGTCTCGTCAGAGACATAATAGAGGCAGAAACAGGAGTTAAGAGGCGTGGAGGTAGACCTACATTAGATTACTGTTCGCAAATAGTTAAGGTTGTGGGTTGTTCTAGCTTAGGAGCTAGGATAGGAAAGAGTGGGGGTGCGTGTCCAACCAGTCTTAACTTAGGACTGACGACCTTAGGACGATGATTAAAATATTTGAATATTCAAATAATTCGAATACAATTCTGAGCCCTGGTATGAACAAACGGTTCGAACCATTTTGCTGGGTGTTTCCCAAATGGTATTAGGATTTTATCCTGAAATGATTGTAGGAAGTATTAATTGGGTTATTACACTGGAAATTTGTTGCATCGCTAACGGATTTTTAAATTTTGTGCTCGCAGAATGTTTTATATATGAATCAGAACGAATTTAATGGTTCGTCGTTGTTAGAATCACGTTGCGCCGTTTTAAATGGTAATATGCATTTGAAATTTTCGAAAGTTAGGTATCGTTAAAGAGCGTAGAGCAGAGCAGGACTTGGTCAAATAACTCAGTGTCGCCGTAGCGAAATCAACAAATTAGTATTGCAGCTAACACCGACATTGTTAATCTAGGATTAGCCAGAGCTTTAACTGCAGCCGCAGCAATGGCGGCCGATCACATTCTGTTTCCTGTCCCAGAATGATTTGGGCTTTGCCAGGAAATGCGTACACGTCCCGGGTATTTTTTGTTTCTATCTCCATTAACGCTAAGACATCGCTACAACCCTCAATTAAAGAGGAAGAGATAATAAAATTGAAGGAAAATAACAAGAAAACATTATTTGCTTCTTTACAAAACGAAAACTACAACAACTTTTTTGTCAATTAAAGGGTTCGAATTTAATAACTATTCAAATATTTGTTTATAATTCGATTTAAATATCTAAATTATTCTATATTTGAAATTTTAAATGATCAAATATTTGAACAAGCAATCAACTTAATGAAATATATTTGAATATCTGAAATATGGATATTTATGAGTTTATTTGAATATTTGCATTACTTTTATTCGAAGGCAAATACCTGGAATTTAGGAGTTACATATTAATTCCTCAAGTATATCTCAGCCACAGAACCATAAGTGACATTTGGACATGCAGATTATTCTGATATTTATATATTTGAATATTGGTATCAGTTGTTATGGTTTTTGTTTTGCAAGGAAGCAAATAAATCTTTAAATTGTTTTCCTACTTTTAACTAATGTTTTTTCCCAAATACGGGTCAAGGCAATCAAGAGTAGAATAAGCTAATTAAAAACAATACGAGGGTGGATTGATAAGTTTCCGGCCTAACCAAGAGATGACGCCACTAGGCCTACCTTGAGGTGACATTCTATAGTACCATCCTTGGATAGCTTGTAGCTATAGTTTCAGCCCGATCTCCTTGCTAGTGTAGGTTTGACAGCACGCTGAACAAGACGCCTCTGTGGTTTTCGTAAAAATGGAAAAGCAGGAAAATCGTGCTGTCATCAAATACTTTTATTTGAAGGGGTTAACGCCGAAGGAAATTAAAAAAGAGATGGACTCAACACTGGGGACATCCTCCCCGTCATATTCAACCGTTAAGCAGTGGGTTTCCGAGTTTAAAAAGGGTCGTGTGAGCACCTCTGATGGGCCTCGCTCAGGACGCCCCGTTGAGGTCACAACTCCAGATATGATCGAAAAAATTCATCAAATAGTGCTGGGAGACCGCAGATTGAAAGTGCGTGAGATAGCTGAGACCTGTAAGATGTCATATGAACGTGTGCAACATATTTTGCACCAACATTTGCATATGGAAAAGCTCTGTGCAAGATGGGTGCCGCGTTTGCTAACAGTCGACCAAAAATTGATTCGAAAAAACATTTCTACCGCAAATTTGTCATTGTATAAGCGTAATCCAAGCGAATTTTTGCGTCGATTCGTAACCGTTGACGAAACGTGGGTCCACCACTACACTCCTGAAACCAAAGAACAGTCTAAACAGTGGATTGGACCAGGGGAACCAACTCCAAAGAAGGCAAAAACAATTTTTTCGGCGAACAAGGTTATGGCTACTGTTTTTTGGGATGCAAGAGGTATTATATACATTGATTACCTTGCAAAGGGTAATACTATCACTGGTCAATACTACGCAGACTTATTGCAACGTTTGAGCCACGAGGTGAAAATTAAACGACCTCATCTGGCGAAGAAAAAAATCTTGTTTCATCACGATAACGCACCAGCGCACACGTCAATCGTTGCGACGGCTAAAATCAACGATCTAAAGTTTGAATTGATGCCGCACCCTCCTTACTCTCCAGACCTAGCCCCGAGTGACTATTTTCTGTTCCCTAATCTCAAAAAATGGCTTGGCGGTAAGAGATTTGCGGACAATGAAGAAGTAATCGAAGCTGTAAATGGTTATTTTGAGGAGCTTGACGAATCAGTCTATAGAGATGGCATTAATAGACTGGAACACCGCTATGAGAAATGTATCAGCCTTGGAGGAGATTATGTTGAGAAATAAAAAAAAAAAATTTTTAAAAACCTTGTTTTTCTTGGTCAGGCCGGAAACTTATCAATCCACCCTCGTATTATACGTACTCCACCTTTTATTATTACACAATAATCCGCCCCTTCGAGAATGGTGTGCGTGCTGGTGTGCTTAAAATTACTCGAGTTTTTTCCAACATAAATTGGTGCATTTAACTTGGTAACATAAGCGTAAAATTAAATTACTTTCATTTTGCACACAGAATGCAGCTCCACTAAAGATACTAAATGTATGTATTGTTTGCTCGAGCACAGTCCTATCTCCATGTACACACTCCGTTCGTTAATTTACGTAGTGTCGTTGATCTACGAGGCACTGACATGAATATAAGTACAATTACGATTGTTTTTGCAATATGCTGCTGCTGCTTTACCTAATCCCCCAATTTCTGGTCCCACTGATTTCACTGAATCAGATTTACACCTACAGTAAATGCGATGTCCAAATTCAAAAAAAAAAAAAAAATTGAATCTCTAAAACTGCAGCTAGA